AATAATCGAGTTAATTCATTATTTTAAATTGTGCCATTTTTTACCCGTTCATTACAAAACTTAAGGTTGTAAATTGCTAAACTTAAGGTTGCAGTATTTGCACTGCAACTTGAAAATATTTTTTTTGATAAAAATAAATGCTACTCTCGTGCTAATTTCATATTGAAAATATGTGAGTTCCATACAAAATTGAAGCCAATATGAAGTTTTGACTGTTGAAATATATAGAATTTCAAGACTTTATACAAGTAATCTAGATATCTTATTTAAAAAGTAGAAGTATTTAAGAAAGTAGATCTCACTGCAGATCTTCTATCATGCCATATTTGCTCCTCTTAAATGGGGATCAAAATTTTAGTCCAATGGCTTATAGAATTTAACTGTTGCCATTCAATATATAATGAAAAAAAAAGACTTTATACTTCTTATATAATTATTCTACTTTAAGTTTTATATGTGGATTTGCATTTTTTCATGCTCAATTCCTGAATGATAGACACTGTTTTCAATAAACAATTCGTTTCTGTTTTCTCTCACAATCACCATCGAATTCATCATGAATCTTCTATATATATATAGGTACTTCATTCACCAGCAGCTTGAGCAAATGATTAATTAATATATTCATTACCTATCACTTAATTTTATATCTTCTCCAGTTCACATTTGAAAATTTTCCAAATACTTTTTCCCTTCCCATTCATAAATAAAATTCTGCATTTCCTCTGAGTAATAATAAAACACGCTATATCAACAATTTCTTTGATCTAACACAAAGAAGAAGAAATATTGCAATTAAATAAAATAATGATGCTATTGTTTTGTTGTTATATAGGACTCTAAGAGAATAATATGTAATTATAATAGATCGGCGGAACGATGCGCCAATCGAATTTTGCTTCCTCATTCTTTGCGAAAAATATCTGCATTGTTGTCTTCCTCGTAAGTGTTATGGAAAGCATTCAAATATTTTTTCATAATCTGAGACGGAAAATTAATTGTTCCTCAATGTAACGTATTATGTAATAAAAGATTTTCATTTCCAACTAATTATTCGAACGGTTAGATGGGTTTGCCAAAGTTGTCTCCTCCGTCACCATTTGCTAAATTGTTCCTTATTTTTTATTTATTAATTTTTTTTACAATTTGCAATGGAAAATGCATTATCATCTCAAACACAAGTGTCTACCAGTATTATCTAAAAAATAAGCATAGTATAGAATTTTATAATAATACTATTTTAAAGTAGAAGGCAAAAGATGTAAACCACCCATCACCTTAATTCTCACGACGTCCCTTTTAGTATGTATGGAAAATGCATCAATATTCATACCAATTTTTTTTTGTTGGTGTTTTTTTTTAAATATCTACATTGTTGTCTTCCTCGTAAGTGTTTTGAAAAGCATTCAAATTATTTCAAAATCTGTGACAGAAAATTAATTGTTCCTCAATGTAACATATTACGTAATAAAAGATTTTTATTTCGTTTGCCAAAGTTGTCTCCTTCATCATCATTTGCTCAATTTTTCCTTACTTTTGTATTTATTAAAATATTTTTTTACAATCTGTAATGGAAAATGCATTATCATCTCAAACACAAGTGTCTACCATCATTATAAGCAAAGTATAGAATTTCTTAATAATACTATTTTAAAGTAGAAGGCAAAAGATGTATAATTACCCATCCTCCTTAATTCTCACGACGTCCCTATCAGGATGTATAGAAAATGCATCAATATTCATACTATTCATCCAAAAGTTTTTTTTTGTTGGTGTTTTTTTTTTAAATATCTGCACTATTGTCTTCCTTGTAAGTATTATGGAAGCATTCAAATGTTTTTTCATAATCTGAGACGGAAAATTAATTGTTCCTCAATGTAACATATTACGTAATAAAAGGTTTTCATTTCGTTTGCCAAAGTTGTCTCCTCCATCATCATTTGCTTAATTTTTCCTTATTTTTTTATTTATTAAAATATTTTTGTTACATCTGCAACGGAAAATGCATTATTATCTCAAGCACAAGTGTCTACCATCATTATCTCAAATATAAGCAAAGTATAGAATTTCCTAATAATACTATTTTAAGTAGAAGGCAAAAGATGTGTAACACCCATCACCTTAATTCTCACGACATAGAAAAACTATTAGGATGTATGAAAATTTATCAATATTCATATTCAAAAATATTTTTTTCCGTTGGTATTTTTTTTTGAGCTCTTTTTTTTTTTTTTTTTTTTTTAATTTTTATTTTCAATAGCAATCAGAATACATGACTATTCTATGAGCTATTTGGCTTATGTCATTCACTCACACACATACACACACTTGCAAACACACATATAAATTTATCGGATCAATATTACAATCATATTTAGAGAATCACTTCAATAAATGATTCAATTATTCTGTTCATATTATTAAGGTTCCTCCATATTATCTTCGGCAGCTTCTTCTTCAGTCTTCTTGAAGTTGATGTCTCAAGAAGCTGAGAGACTATGTTTGTTTGAATGATGTTGTAGTTTTTGAAAATGTTTTATACTGTTGATTTGTATTTTGTTTTATTAAATCAATATGAAGATCGTCGTGTAAAGTTTTGTTACTAACAAACCACGGAGCATCAGTAATCTGCCTCAACATTTCGATTGGGCACGTTGCATTAACGCTATATTGGATTTGCTTGCACAGCTCCACAATTCAATGCCATAAGTCCATTTGAGCTCTTGTATTTAGTTTTTGATAGCTGAATATAATTTTTAGGAATACGTTATTTAATTCTTTTATAAGATGTATTGTTATTTCTATATTAGATATAAAAGTTTTATTTCATATAACCTCTATAAAAGCTCACATGTGTCCGGGGTAAAAAGGACCAACTAAACATTTACATTAACAAAGGTGTAAAAGTTTTATACTTAACAAAAAAAGTAGATTGAGTTAAAAAAAGTTATTAAATTAAATTAATAGCTATTTGACCTCTGCTGATAAATATTTCTGTTAAAATACCAGATCAAGCTTATATACAATGAAATCTTGGTAAAAACATACCATAGAATTTGTACTTCACATTGGAGGACGTCCTTTAATCAAGTGAGGCTTTTAGGGGAGGGAGGGTTTGACAAAAAATCACGTGGGGGAGCGAGGGGTATAGTTTAGATATCATGTGTGTTTATTTCTTTACCTGGATATCAAAAAAAATATGTTAGGTTTTTTCGTATGTTAGAAAAATTAGCTCTAAAAATTTACGTAACTAAAAATACATGATGCTTGCTGAGGGAGGAGGGGGTATATTTAAATAGCACGACATATCACCAAAAGAGAGGGTGGTCAAAAAATCGCTACAAAATTGATCACGATAAATAATGTAGCTGTTACTTCCTAAAAACTCTTTAAAATGATAAAAGTACATTGGATCTGTTTGCCTCCTGGCTGTTCCTTCTTACCACGTCATGGGGCAAAAAGAAACAGATGATAAATTTTATAAAAATAGTCAAAAAACATATTTCTATAATCAGGAGTTAACTAGGAATTTTACTGAGCGTAGTTCGATAGTTGTTTGTTTGACACATGTTATGTTTTGTAATGTAGACCATTTAGTTTAGACAATATAATTAACAAAACTCAAACTGGACATTTTTGCCCCGCCCTACTCGATTGCATAATAAAAGATAATTAGACTAATGTTGTCGAATAAATTCCTAAATTTGGGATTATTTCCAATCCTTGTTGAACAAAATTCATGTAATAAATTTTACTATACTTTTACAGGCAGTGAAGACAAAGATTCATGTAGACTTAATTATTATCAAATATTACCACGGTTCAAAATTAATGATCCGAAACCTTCTATCAATTTCTACTTAAATCCAGTGAAAAATATTCGGGTCATTTCGTAAAAATGTTGATTTCTTTATAATTCGATAATAATTTTGAAAATTGAATGACTTAACAAGTTTTCTAAAACCTTGAAATCGTTGGCTTTGTCATTATTTTAATTCTCTCAGTCAGTCTCTATTATTCGCTCAGTACATTTTAATAACAGACATCAATTTTGATAGGTTAATAATTGCATTTCGACATTCATAATTTGATTTTGAATTAAGAAACTTGTTATTATTTTATTAAAATCGATTCCCGGCAGCAGTTTTCGAATAATCTAACAAATATTATGCGCGGTTTCTCTTCACGACTTTTTTAAATCTGAGTCGGCAGTAATTTTGTTTTCGACTTCTATTTCGAAAAATTAGATATTGCAATTGGGAATTAGATGTTCGTGTAAACCAGGTGATAATGAGATGTTAGATGGAACAAATAATTATAATGAAAGTACTGACAGATATTTGTGTTGTGAGAGCAATAGTAAATTTTTTGGGTATTTTTATTGCTGCAATCCGTTTAATGTAAAAACACACTGAGCAAGATTGCTAGAGAAACATGATGGAATTATTTATTGTAAGATAAGATAATTTCTTCAATATACCAAGCTTTTTTTATATATTTTTAATAGCAATCAGAACCTTACGTCCTATGAGCTGTTGGGCTCAAACTTCTCCTTACTTCGTATTTTTAGACGGTAACCCAATGGTTAATCCATCCATATTTGATAATTTTTGTTATTAGAATTAATCTGATAGGGCTGACTTTTTTCATTGGTGCAGCAATGCCGGGCAAGGGCTATTTTCACTTGGAAACCTATTGCTATCTATATTTCCAAGTGAAAATCGTTGTCACTGCTGCCTGACAACAGGCTGCTCGGAGTGGGTATCGAACCCAGGACCTCTGAAACAAGTCCCGTCGCTCTTAACCGCTTACCTACGGGCGAGTCCAATTTACCAAGTATAAGAGTATCTTATGAAATAAATAAAATAGGTGACATCTTAATTGTACCCAAAACCGTACTGATATTTACAAGTGCAAGCAAAATCGAAAAGTGATAGGGTAGTTTACTATAAATTTCATTCTATTACCATCAACCAACCCAATATTTCTTCTTCCCCCAGGTCTTTTGGCCACATCATGTGGAGCCGAGCTTGCCTCAAAATCAGCAGAACCATCATCGAAGTCTTCTCCCGTCAAACCCCTAGAACCTGCAGCAGCAGTTGAAGATCAGTCGTCATCCAGTCCTGCCAAGAGATCACCTCAAGGAGTACGAGTTCCTGGAGCTCAGCAACATCCTTTGCATTTGCAACATTTGCAAGGATATGCTAGTGCCAATCCGAATGCAGCGAGTCAGCAGACTCAGGGACCCCTTTTGATCAGGGCTGCACCACAGCACGCCCAGCAGGGGGGCCAAGGACAGCAGGGAACCGAAATTAGGGTAAGTGGAGAAAAAAATAGTTTTTGGTAAACTAAATACGGTAGAGCGGGGTTTAAAGGTCCGGGGGTAAATAGGTCCACCATCGATACCATAAAAACCAGTAAGGTTAAAAATTTTTTCAACAACAATATTTGAAAGTAGAGGAAAGAAGATGTATAACCAGCCATCACCTTGATTCTTACGACGTTGCTAACGAGAGATAAACGGCTATATTTGCAAATCCATAACAAAAGTATTTGCTTTCGTTCTTAGTTTTTATTGGTTGTGAGCACTGTTGTTTAGTTTATGAAACCTTTTTATAAATTTTAAGTATACGTTCTTCATTTGTTTTATAAGATATATTGCTAATTTCAAGTTAGATTCAACAGTTACTTTTATAACCTTTATAAAAACTAACACCTGGGTGAGATAAAAAAAACAACTGACCATCTTTATCCTGGCAAAGGCGTAAAAATAAAAATTAGCAAATAAAAAAGTAAATAATAATAAAGCAATGTTACAAGTGATAAATTAAATAAATAGTTATTCCAACTCTGCTGATAAATATTTCTCACAAAATTCCAGATCGAGGTTATTTACAGTATTATCTCTGTAAAAAATGCTCCCATTAAATTTATATTTTGCATTTGTTCAATAATGTAGCTGTTATTTTGTAAAATCCCTTTAAAAATAATGTAAGACATATGACCAGTTTGCCCCCTGATCGACTCATTTTACTCCGCCTATGGGGTAAAAAGAACCAGGATACAGGGTTAGGTAAAAAAACAGCAGAAAAAATTCATTTCTACAAAGATGAATTACCTGGGAGTTTTACTGAGCATTGCCAGATAGTTTGTTTGCTTGATATGTGCTATTTGTTGGAGTATAATTGGTTTGGTTTACACAATATAATTACTCAAAGTCAAATTGGTCCTTTGTGGCCCGCCCTAGCCTATTTATTATATTAAATTGTCATTTGTTCGAAAACCTTTTTTAACTATTATTTTTATTCAACTTTAAACTTTTTTCTATTGACTAACGTTAACTCTTTTACTAATGTAGGGTAGATATGGGTACAGTTGTGCCACTTTTTTTGATCAGCAATAATTTTGTTAAAATACTAGTTAGCTAGGAAAAAAATAAATTAATTGATTGTTTGAATATTTATCTACGTGAAAATACTAAAATACAATAGATTTGTCAAAGAATCTAATCATATAAGAAAAGGGCAATTGTCACAACCGTCCACATACCCAGGACATACGCAATTTGGTTGATGGAGAAAAAAGTTTTTATATAGAGCCATGACAGTCATATATGTGCGAAATAAAAATAGTGTTTTTCTAGGAATTTCGGAAAAAAAATTCTGATACATTTGCTACGTGAAAATATTAAAAAACTGTCAATTTGGAAACAGCAATTTGGAAGAAGGAAAAACAGTTTTAATATAGAGCCAAGTCAGTTATATATGTGTGACATAAAAAATAGTGTTTTCCCAGATTTGTTTAAAAAATATTGTTCTTTGATAAGTTTTCTTGATACTTTGTAATCTAAGTTATCTAATAAAGTTACGACAACCCAGTGGTTTCCAACCTTTTTTGCATTGCGTTTTACACCCCCCCCCCGCTCTAATACAAAAAATGTTGCGCCTCCCTTAATTTTTTCAACAATTTTATTTTTCTAAATACTCAACTGATATTATCAGACTACAAATTAATATACAAATATTATGTAAAAATATTTATAAAATATATTTTTTTTTGTTTATTTTTTATATTAATTCAAAGTTTTTGAAAATAGTATTTTGGAAGGTGCCGTACGCGCCCCCCCCCCCCCAACCCTGAGGTTAGAAACCGCTTTCATAGCCCATGTGGAATTTTTCTGATATTATCGTGGCGATTGACGTGTTAAGAAAAAATAACATGAATGTAAAAAGAATATTTTCACCAGCTCTTATATAGCATTTTAATTTTTGTTTGTTTTTTATTCTAATATTTCAATCAATTTCGATCTCTAGTTTCATACAATGAGCTTTTTGATTGAAGGACTGACATACTCGTACATCATAGACAAAACCAGTAGGAGTCTATACCAATTTTTCGGTGCTTTTAAATAGCATTTTAATTTTTTATATATCGGATTCTAATATTTTGATCAATTTCAATCTCTAGTTTTGTCTAACGAGCTTCTTGATTGAAGGACTGACATCCATTATTATCCAAAACAGTAGGAGTCCGTTCCAATTTTCGGTACGAAATCCTAGAGATTTCTATTCCATCATGTCAATGCCGTACAAATGAAATTTGAAATAGAATTTCACAATAGTTTTCTATTCATGTGTTGAGTGTTTTATGTCCGCGGCCACGTTCCCAGACATTCCTCGTCTGGAGGTTGTGCCGTGCACCTCCACCTCGTCTCTTGTACTATTACTGGGTTCTAGTATTACGGGGCAGAGCGCATGTTAACCGCGGTCATTGTGAAAAAATATTCACATCGTAAAATATAATAACCATGTGGGAAATATCAAGGAACGGAGTAAATGATACACGGTCTAATGAAAATGTGTGATTTGTAACTAATTACAATAGGTGGTGGAGAAAAATGTTTGGAGCGCTTGGTAATGAAATCGACATTGGCGGTGTTGCATGGTGCAGAAGTTCGCACTGTTTTTGACATCAATTCTCATCGAGTCTCCTATTGTTATTTATGATTTTTTCCCTTATTATTTGATTTTTTGTTATGATTTTTATTTTATATTATCGTCGTATGAATAGGGTTCAAGGGTCTCTCTGGGGTGCAATGACTGGTATTTAGTATATTTTAGTATATCTTTCATCGCTTCCCGATACGAAGAGGTAACCTTAAAACTAGGGTTTTAGACGTATGACCACATTTGAAAAGGCTATAAGTCTTTTACTGACTAGATCTTAAGAAACCATCTTTCTTTCGATCACAAGAACCAGTATTACATGGACCTTAAGAGTTTATCCTGAGGTTGATGTCTCTTAAGGTTGTAACACATTTTCTAATACAAAAAATATTAACAAGTGACCTTATTTACTCTAAATTTTTATGATTTTCTTTAAGCACTCGCGCACATATAAATTAGCCACAGCTCTTTCAATACGATCGACGATCTAGGTATTCAGCTTATGAATACTCGTAAACTTTTACTCAATATCCGAAACTTAGACAGCAAAAATTTCATGTTTCTCTAGTTAAACTTTTTAAAGAATTAGCTTTTTATGATATTACTGAATTTTCTCAATTTGATTTCAATAACTATTTTCTTGTATAATCCTTATCCTTTATCTATGTAGTCTGACTATTTATTTGATCGCCTGTACAACCATGTTTTTTTATTGCTATTTTATTAATTTAAAATTTTTACGGTTTTAAATGATTTTAACTTTCAACCTTGTGCAATAATTTTGAGCTTAACTGGTGGTCAGATAGACTTTAATATGATGAACTTGATTATGAACATTGTATTTAATGTTCATGCTTTTTTTCAACTTTTTTTTCAGAAACGAAATTCGTGCAGCTACTATGATTATTATAAAATTACTATCCTTTTAATATTAATTATGAATATGCTTGACAAGAGCCTGAAATAAAATCTTTTATTATTGATTACGGCTTGCTTATGAATAAATAAATAAATAAATAAATAAATAAGGTGACCATACGTCTCGGTTTGACAGTCCCGGATTTCCAATTTGTGTCCCGGGTTTTTCTAAAATGTATAGGTAGATTACCAAAAATTATGGAAACAAACAAACAAGTGAGTTTTTCAGTTTTGTGCGACAATCTGCCAAATCGTTTCTTTGTAATTTGGAAAAAAGTGTTAAACTTTTCATCCACATTTAATCTCATACTACCGAATCGATTTAAAAAAATCAAAAACTGTTCGAAAGATATTAGTTGGGAATGATACTGATTAGTTTTAGGTGAAAATCTACCAAGCCGTTTTCTTGTAATTACCTGTTGAAAAAAAATTTAAGCCGATTTTTATAGATCTTTTTTTGGCGATATATATCATGGTCTTATAGACCTTACTGAAATATTACGGCCTTACGACAAGTAGTTTAATTTTAAAATTTCATCAAAGTTTAGGAAAATGACTAGTTTTTTTGACATTTGTTAAAATTAAAATTAGACGACTTACTTGGTATAACGATAGAGTACTTGGTCTTAATGAACATACTAAACCATTAAAGTCATACTGGTTCAATTATAAAAATTATTGATTTGTGAAAATTTGCTTTTAGATAATACTCTAAGTTAACATGTTCATTCGTTTTCAATAATGTGTAATAAACCCACTCGGAATGTTTTTAATCACTCATAAATTAATTTGTTTTTTATTGATTAAGTCGATTATTTACAAATATCGGGAAGTCCATGTAACTTGCCTCAAGGCAAAATACCAATACCAACTAGTTAAGTTTATCATTTAATTAATTTATAAATAATAAGCATTTGAAACATATATACATATAAAAATATCAAATAATAAATTTATCAAATAAACTGACACTTGATTAATACATTTGAGACATACCATTGCATCAACATCAGCTATGTTTAGGTTCATAGACTGAAGATTCGCCGCAAAACTAAAATTTACGTAACAAAAATTATGTATAATTTTTATTAGTCATTATAAGTATTTAAATTAATCTCCGAGAAATGGCATAAATCACCATCTGTTCATGTCTACCAAGCCTAACGACTGACCAACGACCAACGACCCTCGGGCGGCAGTACCATGATGACATGTTTATGGCCTATGAGTGAGCATTTGTTTAAATATTTTGAAATAGCAAAATGAACAACGGATAAAGAATGAATATACATTCTCCTTCCTCAAAGCATTATTATATTATTTCTCAATATCCTTTATTATTCGCATAAAGACATAAGACAATGTCACTGAATGACACGCTATAATATTTGCATTTCTAAACGTGAATGACGATTTCTAGGGCAAATATGGACAATGAATTATACATACGATAGGGTTATATTAATTAGAGATTTTTATCGGAACTCGGCAGTAATTACATAGTTAGCATTTTGCATTTTGCATTTTCTCTTTGTAGTTTTTAATTTTTAATCATAATCAATCTTTTACTAACGTCTCTTACTAAACGTATAAATCGATGCAGTAATAAATTGCTAATTTTAGAAAAAAATGCATATGCATTGGGTTAATTTGTGGCAGGGGAGACTGGATACAGTTGTGTACTTTTTCTATTAGTAATAATTTTGTTAGTTATTTGCGAGAAAAGTAAATTACAAATACAATGAATTAGTCATAAAATCAAATCATACAAGAAAAGGGCGAGTGGCACAACCGTCCAGACGGTTACCCCCAGGACGGTTGTGACAGCCATAAACATAAATAAAAATTAATTTACTTCTCACTTTTTAAATGTAGTACGGTCTACAGATCATGTTAATATAGGGCTTTGAGTCAATGCAATAATGGAAACTTGTTCGAACAAACATTCTACACTTTTCTCCCTCTGGACCCTATCTTAAAATCAGTATAGTTTAGCTGTTATACCACTACTATACCTGGCACAACCGTACCCAGTCTCCCCTACTTAACTAATTTGTTAAATTTGCTGTTGCAAATTAATTCATATTTAACTTAATGCTTTCAAGTCAATGGTTATTTTCATGATGGTTATTTTTTTAATAAACTGAATTTATGTTAGTTATTTTTGAAGTAAAACTTCTTTAGGCGCGACTAGGGTGTAAATCCGTACAAATGCAACGGAAGTGCGTTACGGCCGAGTCTAGTGTCGAATTTATTAATCAACAATTACTTCATTTCTCTAATAAAAGTTCATTTCTAAATGCTAATTACAATGACAACCGATGTCATATTTGAAGTATGACTTCAATTACATTACTGTTTTTAAATATTATACATATTTTTAATGCTATTATAAATATATAATTTATAATTTATCATTATAAAAATGTGTATAATGGTTGACACTAATGAATGTGTGCATCACCAGTGTTGCCATATTACTAATAAATATTATTCAAAATTGTTATATGATGTAATTATTTTTACTTAAATACCATCTTGTACAGTAGCAAATAAATTTTACTTAAATCGCGTGTGAACCTTACGCGCACTCTTTTTTTTTTAATTTTGTTTATTATGCGCTGTGTTTTGTTTATTAAAATATTTTTATTAAATGAAGAAATTATACGAGTCCTTTGAATATGAACTCCTGATCAATTATCAAATTTCTCTACAAAAATGCAGTTTTAATTATTTATCTTCAAACATTAACAAAATTATTGTGCATCATTATTATTTTTAAATCTCAAATATTCATACTCTTATTACTAAATTTACTAAGATACATTTAAATATATGGAAATTAAAAAAAAAACACAATTTTATAAAGGTGTCATGACAAAAATAAATAGCTGATTTTTCTCAATAGTTTTTGAACATTTAATAAGATATTATGTAAATAAAATTGTTCATGAAGTACAAAAAAAACAAATTCAGTGATGCAGTTTTTTACAATAATAATAGCTAAATAGTACAGTAACAGTACGAAAAAAAGACACGTAATCGGTTATTATGAAATTTTTGTATTATCTGTTATTAATTTGATCAAAGAAATTCCTTGCTAGAATGCTTAATCAGCCTGTATTAATGATACTTTTAACTACGTTTGAGTACATTTTATGAAATTTGTTTCCTGATCTTTATGAAGAAAAAATATGGATAAAACTAGGTCTATTAACAATGAAAATGATATATTTATCCGTGGTTTTTTATTCAAAGTCAGCCGTCGCCTGTAGCAAAATTAGGTTAATTCGCCAAGTGCGAAATTCTATTCGACCTTTGTTCGTTCTAAGCTGTTTGTTACCTATGTTACCGAGTTCGTAATGCCAAGTAAACGAATGCATGACTTTGTTCTCTACGATGTAATAACACATAACATTCAAGTACTTTTATTCCGATTTTGAAATTTACACTAATTGCCACCAGCCCGGAGTAGACGGCGAACTTATTGCTTAACTTCAATTCCAAGCTCACCTATTCGCGTCTCTATTTAGATTTTTTATAGATACTTTGGGATTAACATTTAACATTAACATTAACATTTTAGGTCAACAATAACAATATTTATATAGGATTGACAATGACGTCCACCTAAATCCTCAAAATAAAGATATATATGTTCAAATAAGAAGTAAATCTTGTCACCCTATCAAATGCCACGATTCCGCCCATATTAACAAATTATGATTGATTTATATAAAAGTTGTTTATATAAAATCCAACTAATATGTAATTTTGAACAGATGACTTTTAGAAGACATTGGGGACGATTTTGTTGCTAATAATTATATAATAATTATAGTATAAATTATTTAATTTTCACTTGATTCACGTATTTCCCATATTCAACAATAGTCAAGAAATGAATTTGTTCCTTCCATCAAATGCTACTATTTTGCCCACGATTATCACAAATTAAGTTTAATTTAATTTTAGTTGTAATAGTTATCCAATTTCCATTACTCTTCAAATTTATTATGAGCATAATAATAGTAAAGCACATAGCACAAAATCATATGTATTACTTTATTATATTATTAAAACTCTTTCAGTAATATCTTGTGACTAATAACAATAATGTTTCTAGGTTCCTCAAGAATATCTGCAACTCCTGCAAGAACTGCAATCGGCTCAGCAACAACAACAAAGCGCATCGCAACCGGCTGCTCAACACAGATACGTATTACCAAGGTAAGAATTAAAAAATTTAATAACAAATAATGTAATAATGCACTCTAATAACTATTTGGATATATATAACATGTTTGGTGCTTTGCTCAAAGCAAATTCATAATACTTATATAGCGTTAGTTTATCACAAGGGTGGAGGAATTAAGTGAAAGGAACAAATGGAGAAGTAATAAACGAGAAAACTATTTACTCACATTAGAATTTATTTTTAATATCGATCGATTGAAGACAACTTTGGACATTATTTAAGACCTGCGTAGAATATATTAATATGGGGTTATTTATGCATTTATCTTTGGTGTTGGTGATTTGAAGGAGTAAAATAAAACAATAAACAAGAAATATATAAAGTCGTGTATTCTAGTCATTCTCAATCTGCCGGTTCCGGAGCGCCAGTACAATACGCTCACGCTCCCCAAGTTCAACTCGTATCATCTGGAGGCAGTCAACAAGGTCCATCAACCTACGCCCTTCAACAGCAACAACACGCACAAGCTACGCAACAGCTGCAACAAATACAACTGCAGCACATACAACAACAACAGCAGATCGCTGCCTTACAACAACACCAACCTCATCACTATCCAAAGCCAAGACCTACGTCATCTCCTTATGTCTCGCAAGCGACCACAGCCATACCTAGACATCAACACATATCTGCTTTAGCTGACTCTACATTCGAGAAAGAATTGGCTCAATTGGTAGCTTCGAACAGAGCACAAGAACAAGCTCAACAACAACAATCCGCTTTGAGAGTTAAGCAGTACCAACCAAAAGGAATTTCAGCTGCTGCACCATCTCAGCATTTATATCAAGGACAGCAAGCTCAATACTCTTACATAAGTGAGCAAGAACAGCAACAAGGTAATCAAATTCCACAGTACGTACATGTTCCCCAGCAACAACAGGCCCAACAACAATATGGTTATCAAGATATAGCCCAAGGTGGCCAATCATACGTTGCCCCTAAACTAGGCAGAAAGCCTACTGCTCAACCCATAACTCATCAGTATTTAGCAGAAACTACAGGTTTATCTGGCAAAGCTAGCTACGAACAACGACCTCAATATGCAGTACCATCTCAATCCCCATACGCTGTGCAATACCGAGTGCAGCAACCAATTATATCTCACCAACCAACTACCAGATATCAACCACAAGCAACTGCGGCATCAAAAATTCCTACAGCTTCTCCCGAAGATCAAGAATTCTTGAAAAGTCTCTTCGAAAACCAAGCACAAGGTTTCTTCCAAGGCGCTAAGCAACCTCATCAGCAGCCACAAGCTTCCAGATCTTCTATATATGTTTCTCAAACTCAACCTACTTCAAAAAGCTTAAAACCAGAATCAAGCCAAGACAGCAGCCCAAACCAACTTCCTCCAATCAGATTACCTGGTCCCAAGGACCGTCCTTTGACTCAAGATGAATTCCAAGCTTTAGTAAATGCCGGATATTCTGTGACTCCAATTCCTGTTCCAGTACCAGTTCCAGTGCCAGAAGATAAATATAATCAACAGAAATACCAACAACAACAACGCGGATATGCACAACCAGAACCTGAATATCAACAGCAGCGATACCAGCCAGTGCAAAGTGTTGCTCCTAAGGCAGCAATCAAACAGAGACGATTGGTGCGTCCTCCACAAGGTTACAGGTTGAATGATGAACAACCAAATGCGTCAATTACCTACTTGGTACCATTAGATCAAGAACAACAAAACAGGGAATACTCAGGAAGGTCGGAACAATAAAAATGCTGATGTAATTTTAAATGAGTTTTATGAAAATCAAGTTTTCGATTTGAGTTTATTCGAACGCACAGTAGGATATATCTTGAAAATAACGATATTTACTTAATCAAATAAGAGATGCATTTATCTTTTTCCAAATTTAATTTCATTAACAATTTGGTTAAGTTTATCGCTTCTAAATATTTAAAACGATGTCGAATTATCAAGACCTTACTGTTACTTAATTTTAAGTAGATGGCTAAGAAATTAAGAAAAAAGTATTAATTAATTTTTTAAAGACTTGCAACTTATATAAAGTCTTTGAATTGCAATTGGCTCATAAAAGTATTATTGGCAATAGTCATTTATTTTATTAGAGAAAGTGCTAAGAATATAAATGACCAGTCTAAATTTTTGTATAAATATTTGAGTTAGAACAACTTTCCTATAAATATAAAATATTAATTATTTTCTATAACTTTGACCGATTTTCGAACGATATTATATTTATTGTAAATAATTTAAAAATAACGTTTTCTTTAGAGTATTTTCAAGGTCTGCTTTCACTTGTAATGAAAGCGTTTTATTACCAATTATAATATAATCATGATAAATAATTATTACGATATTATATTTGATAGAATAGTTAACTATATGATGTATAATTTTGTATTGAAAAAGAACAGAAATTGAGATGTGATAATAAAAAAATTATTAAAATTTATATTACTATATAATTAGTGTTGTCTTTTTTGACTCGTTGCTGGGAATATTTAGTAATAGAAACATTATATATATATATATATATATAAACAAAAGATAATTTTGACGCAGGTAACAATTCTAGGATAAAAATAACACGCATGAAATGCGTAAATTATTTCTGATTACGAGACAAAGAGCCGATAAATATTTTCTCAAATTTAAATAAAATCATACATTTTTATAATAACTATTTATTACAAATTTGCACAGTTTTTTTTAGTAAATTTTAAATTTGAAATTTTTAGCCTTATTCTACCTAGGCACTGTTGGTTTGTTTCTTCTATTAAACAAATATTACTTCTGAGTCTTAGGCTTAGTATTATTATCATTAGTAATATTTATATTAGATTATTCAAAAATATCTTTTTCTTTTACTATGGTTTTAAGTGACAGCACCCCAAAACCGTTTTTATTATTTGTATCTGAAAATCGAAGGTGCACCACGTTTTAAAAGTGTAGTTGAAGCTGATAAAGGCATTAATTGATGCAAATAGAGGAAAATGTATAACACAAACAGACATCAGTGAAAAAATAATTTTAACTAATCTATTTATAATAACTATATCTATTTATAATAACTTGAATGTCTGTATAACTTTTTTTCGAAGCAAAATTCGACACACTCGATGTTGCATATAGGCGACACTCGTACACACAGTTAGCTAAGCGGATGTCGCCTATAGGCGACATTTGTAACGGATTAGTTAATATTTTGCTTTATTTTGACAATGTATTTTATGAAGACATTAGTAATTGTTAATTTATTTTTGTGCATAATGCGTTTTACACATAAACCGCCACCTCACTTGTATGTTATGAAGCTGGGTGAGAAACCCTGTTATCTAAGATTGTTTTTTTGATTTGTGCGGTTTCTAGGTTAGGTTTTATATCTGACAACCTGAGAAAACGCCTGGCTGCACAATAATCACATGACTTTTGTCAATATTTAGAACGAATTAGTATTGAATGTTCTTTATAACGCAGCCTTGCCATAACATTTGTCTGTTATGCGGCAGAATCGGTCTCTAAATTTCAATATTTGATACGATTGTGTAGAAGAGAAGAAACTGTCCTCGACCACGTTATGAAGTCTTTGTTCAAAAAAATAATAAAATTCCAGACTCTATGCTAGTTAATTTATAAGATACGATTGCGAAGAGGAAAGCAAGCTGGATTGAACCCATATTGAATAAAGAGTCTTCATTTATATAAAAATAAATTGAAGACTTAATTTTATATTTATCTATTGGATACGATTTTTAGGAGAAAAATACATTGGATTGGAGCCATATTGGCAAAAGAGTTGCTACTGCAGGACATCACCGAGAAAATAAAACAGAATATCAGGATGAACTAGGAACTTGCATCAGAGAAAAAATATAGGAACTGA